TAATATACAAATTAAAGTCCTATGGGGTTAAGGAATTGTACAGTCATAAAAAAAAGTTATGTTATTCAAGATTTCAAGGCTTTCCTTTATGGCTTTCTTACAAGCCTTCAGCACACTCACACATTTTTATAAGCTACTGGAAAAGAATCACTCAGAGCCTCATACTGGAGAAACAGCACTAAGAACAGCAAAGGAAAAAAGTAACATTTTCCTACCTGATTTCAGGATAGATTCTCATCCCAAGGATCGCTCCCAGGTCTCCAGATCAAAGAATTCTCTCCAGAACACCCAAAGAGGTTTGAGGCAGAAAACACACAAGCGCAGCCTGAGGGTTACTTATATCAACCAACACCTGGGGGGAAGTGACCGCACCCCTCAGCAGGTGGATACAAACTAATCAGTAGAGGATGGGGCTGAAGGGCAGACCCTGAGCAGCTCAGGCCTCCCTTGTTAACTCATTAAGGCAGGAGGAGTTGGGAGCTGGGTAAATACATTGCTTTACATAAAAATTGAGTGAGGAAAGGAGGAGGGTGTTCTTCACTGTGCCAGGTGCAACAGGACAAGGTGCTGATGCATCATCACTCCAAGGGAAAAAAACATAACACAGTGCTCACTTTGCTTGAGTTTAAAGGGGAAAGATGCCCAGAACTCCTCAACTTTTGTGGGAGAAAGGAAAGTGGTTGGGAATCCTGAGTTACTGAGGAGGAGAGCAGTAGGTCTCAGGTAATCATTCAAGGCTGAACAGCAACAGAGAATCATATCTTGAGTTGGAAGGACCCACAGGGATCACTGAGTGCAGCTCCTGGCCCTGCACAGGACACCCCAACAATCCCCCCCTGTCCCTAAGGGCATTGTCCAAATGCTCCTTGAGCTCTGTCAGCCTTGCCCTGGGGAGCCTGTTCAGTGCCCAACCACCCTCTGGGGGTAGAACTTTTTCCTGAGATCCAACCTAAACCTGCCCTGACACAGCTCCAGCTGTTCCCTCGGGTCCTACAAGGTTTATCTTGCTTACTGCGTTTGGGTTTTCTACACCATTGCATAAAATCTGCCCTCTAAGTGGCTTTTTGTTCAAACTACTGACTCTACGTGAGGTAAAGTTCAGCAGGAGTAGAAAAATATATGGTTCCAAACCAAAATTCTTCTTTTCTTAAATTCTCACACAATTTTCATGATCACCCTCACAGACATTCGCCTCTGTTCTTGTTCCCACACCAATCCTTCTGAAAAGTGTCTGTGGAATGACAAGTACAGTTGTTCCATCTCCAGAAAGCAGCAAATCAGCTGAAATGTTGAGAGCTGGAAGCTGTGAAATTCCACAGAATTGATTTTCTAAGAAAAAAAAACTTCATTGAAATGAAATGGTGGCAATTGCTGCAGTTTGTCTCCAATACACGTATTCTCCCAGTCACATCCAGCCCAGAATAGGTTCTTTGTCTACAAAATGTTGCTCTTTTACAGTATGTATAAAAAAATAAAAAATAAAAAAAGTGAAATCCAGCCCTCACTTTTTAATATCCTCAAAAAACGATGCATAATGTTCTTGGGGGCAAAGAATTGCTTAAATGTTTTATCAATGTACAGCTGAGTTCCTACCTGGTTATCTCAATGAGAACTTTGCATTAAGGACTCACATATCTTTGTGCTGTTACACATTTTTATGCTGTTTGTTTCATTGCCCTAAATATCAGGCAATTTGTTTCACCCACTCTGAATATAGAAGCAATTCCCCCCAGTCATAACTTAAAGAGATGTGCATGAAAGAGTAGCAGCAGCACAGTAACAGAGCCTGACACCTTCATGGCACTTCATAGCACTGCTGGGTCCCACTATCAGCTTTCCTACTCACTGTGCTTACACCAAAAATCCAAATATTTCAGTTTTCCATCATTGCTCCTGGTCATCCCAGCAGCAGAACTGTCATGGCTGTTACTGCAGTTCTATGCACTTGGCCTTACCAGCGATCAAACCCAACAGTTGGTTGTGGTAAAAAACACAAAATCACAAAATCCTAGACTGGTTTGGGTTGGGAGAGACCTTAAAGCCCATCCAGTTTCACTTCCTGGCATGGGCAGGGACACCTTCCACTATCCCAGGTTTCTCCAAGCCCCATCCAACCTGGCCTTGGACACTTCCAGGGATGGGGCAGCCACAGCTTCCCCAGGGAACAGTCCATAATCTAAATTCCTTCATGTTTTTAAATCAGTCCCTATTTGACCTTAAGGCCAAGAATGTTAATTCAGCTGCACTAGACATCAAGAGATCAATCTTAAGTGTTTCCAATTAGCTTTATTCCTCTGTCTAAAACCCACTAGAACAAAGACCTACAGCATGTTCAGCTCACACGGTGAAAAACAATCCAGAGGCACAGCCATAACCTTGATATTCCAAATGAACTCTATTAATCTCTCTTTATTTGCCCTTCCACTGTTCCTGGTAGTAGACACCATCAAACGATTATAAATAAGGAGCAGAACATAAAGCTTTACTTTTCCCATTATTTTCCTTTCTGTGTTTTTTTCTGACCTTTGATTGTGAAGAGTCCCATTGATGCTCTCGGTGTGGGTTGACACCTGGGTAGGTATTTGTAATTCTTTAATGAAAATAAAGGAAAGAAAAAGACTGAAGCATAACGAAATCTCATTGTAAAGCCATAAAAGCTGGCTCTAGGAATATTTTTAGTGACCTGAAGGTGGCCTCCAATCATTTTTAAGGCTGACTGTATTTCCAGTTGATTGCATCTATTCATGAGTGTGGAGGGATAAAAATACACAACACTTTTATTGTATTTGCCGGACATGTCCCTAAAATCTCTTCCCTTGCTCTAAGAGATGAAGCTTTACAAAATGTATTACATCATTTGTAAGCAGTAGGTTGGGTGCAAATACATCAAGCATTACGTTTTTAAATGACCTCAGAGAAGGAATATGGGAAGTAATCCATTTAATCCATTGTGAAACAGTTGCAGTCATCATTTTCTGCAGACTTATGGGATTTCCCTAAGATAATCAGTAAATTGATTTATACCCTTGCACAGGTTCAGAGCCTGGGTTAGTGGGAAAATCAGCACCACTTTGTGTCTTGGTTTGTTCTCAGATTGATGAGAAAAGAAAACAGAAGGTGAGTGGTTGCAACATGAGTGATGAAAAGGATCCCTAAAGTTTTTGTATCTAATCAGAGAATACATGTCTTTCTTATTCTAATCAGTAATTAATACATCTTCACTGAGTTTTGAATGGCCTCCAACAGGTGCCACAGCTCAAACACCTGAGAGAAGTTACCAGAAACCAGCTTTGAGTGGCACCTGCAAATCCTTTTGCAAGCAAATAAAAGCAGCACAGCCCTCCTTCCTCCATACTGGTTATATAGTTGGGAAACCAGTTTTCCCAGGGCTCTTTGAGCCCTGGTTGGGCTGGGAGGCACCACCCAGGTGTCTGTGTGTTCTGGATTTTTATTTCTATTGTTTTCACTGGGCTGTAGCTTTGAGTCTGTTACAGCCATCCATTGCTTCAGTCTATTTGTTATGCTGGCGTGTTTTCTCACTGCAGTGATGGTTTTATTCTTTCTTATAAAAGTGTCTGAGGTATTTGTGTGTCTTTATTGACTATAAAAGAAGTTTAAGTGGTGTGACTAAAGCATCTGAGCAATGGAGGGCTGCATCAAGGTGAAATAAAACACTCGTGGGGTATTTATAGCTCCCAGGTTACAAATATACTAGCTCTAGAGGATCTGAGATTAAAAGCCAAACAGTGAAAGCTATGCTGTTGTAACATTTGTTGGGGTTGGTCTGGGGGATTTTTGGGTAGAGTGGTCTCTAGAGTACCTATATCTGTGGGAAATACCCAGGATGAGGAGGGGAGCTGGAAAGATGCATTTCTTAAAGGAGTTAATGTCGTGTGTAAGCTCTGTGCTGATCCCATGGGATCTAAGAGATGTGTCAGCCCCACCTGCCTCTCCGGGTGTTGTCTGGGAAGATGCTCTGAATCCTGGGCTGCGGCCACTAGGTTGGAGGTGATTCTCCCCCTCTGTTCTGCTCGTGTGAGACCCCACCTGGGTCACTGGGTACAGTTTTGGTGTCCCCAGCATGGGAAGGATATGGAACTGTTGGCACAAGTCCAGAGGAGGCCACAAAGTTGATAAGAGGAGTGGAGAACCTTCCCTATGGAGAGAGGCTGGGAGAGCTGGGGCTAGTCAGCCTGGAGAGGAGAAGGTTGTGTGGAGACCTCAGAGCCCCTTCCAGTCTGAAGGGGCTACAGGGAACTGGAGTGGCAGGACAAGGACTAATGGGCTCAAACTGGGAGAGAGGAAATTTAGGCTGCATATTAGGAAGAAAACATTGGCTGTGAGGGCAGTGAGGCTCTGGCCCAGGTTGCCCAGAGAAGCTGTGGCTGTTCCATTCCTGGAAGCATCCAAGACCAGGTTGGACAGGGCTTGGAGCAACCTGGGATAGTAGAAGGTGTCACTGACCATGGTAGGGGTGGGACTGGATGAGTTTTAAGGTCCTTCCCAACCTGAGTCATTCTGGGATTATATTTAAAAAGTAAAAATTCATGTAGGTTTTTATCTCATTCTCCCCTAATTGATAATGGAGGTCAAAGCTTCACAAACAGAAGGAGTTTTATTGACATCCACTCAGTCTCCGAAGGGGCTGCCAAGCCACACCTTCACCTCTGGAGCAGCTCGGACATGAGGTGGGGCCAGGTGTCATAGCATGGTAATTACTGTTAAGTAATTAGCTGTGATTATTTGATTGCTGTTCCGTATCACCGCTCATCGCTGTTGGGTAATTAACGCCTGTGACGGCGCTCGGGACGCGACCGGGGCAGGAACCGAACCCGCGGCCACACGATCTCCCCGGGCCTGCCCGCCGGGACGTCACGCGTCACGTGCCCCCGGCTCGCCCAATCCGCGGCCGCCGGCGGATTCGAACGGCGGCGGCCGTTGGAGGCTCATGTGGGGCGCGCCGGCAGGGGGCGCTGTGCCCGCCCGGGGCCGGCGGAGGGGCCGCGATGGCGGGGCCGGGGCCGGGGCCGGGGCCGTACCGCGCCACCCGCCTGGTGAGCACCGGGGAGCGGGCGGCTGCCGGGGGAGCGCTGTGGGACAGGAGGCGGCTCTGCCCCTCCTGGATGCTGTCGTGACACGTGGGTGTCCTGGGACCCTCTGCCCCCTGTCGTGACACGTGGATGCTCAGGGACACCCCCTGCCACGGCGTGCGGGTGCTCTGGTGTCCAGTGCCCACTGTCACGCCATGTGGGTGACCACGGACACTCCCCCCGTACCTGCTATCACGATATAGGGGTACCTTGCTGCCTGCCATCCTGTGACTCCCGTCACGACCTGTGGGTGTGTTAGGGCACTGTCGTGACATGTAGGTGCCCTGGAACAACCCTTGCCCACTGTCACGATATGCGGGTGCGCTGGGCCCCCCCCACCCCGTGCCATTGGTACTCGCAATGCTCAACTTGAGGCTTTAACTTTCAATTCTTGGCTGTTTTGTCTCCCGTGCAGTGGAACGAGATCACCAAGTACTTCCGAGCGGGAATGCCCCTGAGGAAACACAGGCAGCACTTCAGGAAACACGGGAGCTGTTTCACTGCCTCGGAAGCCGTGGATTGGCTCCATGAGGTGCTCAGGAATAACAGCAACTTCGGTCCCGAGGTGACCAGGCAGCAAACATTGCAGTTACTGAGGAAATTCCTCAAGAACCACGTCATTGAGGATATAAAAGGGAGGTGGGGAGCTGAAAACCTGGAAGACAACGGTGCCCTGTACAGGTATTGAGATTAAAACTATTTAATGGCTCTTCAGGTTAAGAATTTGATTTTAAAATACTCAGATTTGGGCTGAGCAGTTGGGCCAAAAACTTAATTATTAGAATCGTTTCGCTCGTCTCAGTGTTTTACTTTGCTCTGATTCTCAGTATTGACCATACATCCTGTCTGCTTAGGGTTGTTTCCATGCTCTTGTCTATCCAAGCCTTTCATTGGAATACATTCTGCTCTCCAGTGCTGTGACGGGGAGCCAGGGAGTGGTTTGTAGTAGCTCCCTGATGCGCTTACTTCACCTGTACCTTTTACAGAAAGTCTAAATGGGAAATGGAGCCAAACAGCTTGAAAATGACAGGTCCTCACTTTTCACATTCTGGGCTTAGTGCTCTGTAAACATTTGAGCATCTTCAGCTTGACTTTGGCATCAAGAAAAACAGCCCAAAGTTAATTTATCATATGATAAAGAAAAAAAAAATCAGTGTTTCCCTTATTATTTTCCTGAATCTCTTCAGAATCTTACAGAGTCACAGGATATTGTTTCGCTTAAGTACTTATTTTATCTAATCTATTCTGAATGTATTTCACTCATCTCTCCCACCCATTACAGATTTCCTTCAACATCTCCGGTTAAACCTCTACCAAGCCCACCAAGAGAGAACTTGGAAAACTTCCCTGCAGACAAAGAAAAACTCTTTAAATTGCCCCATTTATCCAAGAGGACTTTGAAAAAACACGAGTTACTGCAGTCCCTGGTAATAATTTCTGTTTCTTTCATAATTGCAGTTGTCTTGTATTGTCTTCATTTAAAACAAACAAACAAACATAAAACTAGAGTCAATCACCTTTTAGCATCACTGTTCTGTTGTGGCATCTCCGCTTTCAGCTTGAGAAGTAATTTGGTAGTTAAGAAATTAAGAAGTATTAAGAAATAAATTAGTATGGGAGGATTTTTGTTTTCTTCTGGAAGTATTGGGAGGGACAAATAAAAGACACAAATTATTTAACTGGTCAGCTTTTTGGAAAAGATTGAATGTGTGTCACTTTATTCATTTGGAATTTGTGTATGTGCATAAATTATGAATTTAGATTCCAATCCTGAAGGAGGATATTCATTTATAAATATGTTTGGATGTGAGATGTTTCTACCTTTTAAATTGCTGGTTTTGGGATTGATCTTTTGCTTTTTAGTTGTGTGTGCTTACATTTCAGTGCTAAGGCTGAAATACCATGTGGAATTTATTGTTCCACAGCATTTCCTATACTTCTGATTCCAATTTTACTTGATTTTGAATTATCTTACATTATAAACTTCTCATTTTCAGGAAAACCTAGAAAAAACAAAGCCTGATGTGATAAAAGAAAACAAGGAAGACACACTACAAAGGAAGGAGATAAGCCAGCAATATGTGCAAGAAACTTGGAGAAATATCATTCTGATACAGTAAGTAATTAAAAATAGCACCTTCTCATATGAGTGCTTTGGGTGTGAAATAGCCCATCAACCTTTTAAGCTGAAGATTTTTACTGACTGTTCTCTACATAGGCTTCCTAATGTGTTTATTAACATTGGATTGTTGCATTTAAGGAATTCTTGATTATTTGCTGTTGCTGAAGTATATTTGAGTACCACTGATGCTCTTCCTTACTGATTGTTGCTGTTTGTACCAGAGAAAAGTGTGTCCTCAAATTGTTCTCTTGAAAGTGATAATTCATTAAACAGCAGATGAGCTTATTAAGCAGCTGGTTTTGAATAGATAGGGAAAGAACTGGTTTTTCCTTCATCACTACAATCCTTGTAGACACCCCCTGCTCTTGCTCTCCCCACAGTTTGCAGACCATTCTGGGCCTCCCATCGCTGGAGGAGGTTCTGCAGCCGGCACAGGTGGTCCCTGAGCACGTCATGTACAACATGAGCAACACCAGCAAACATGGGGTGGTGATTCTGCAGAACAAGTCAGGTGAGACTGATTTCCCTAGTTTTGCTTAAAGATCCTATGTGGTGTAATTACAACAGTAATTAATATATTTCATGGTCTGTCTTTCACACTTTTTTCCCCACTCAGTTTTCCCAACTGAGTACAGTTCAGTATATTTGTCTAGAAGATTTGTAGATATATTGCATTCATTCTTTATAGAACAAGATAGTCACAGAATCCTGGAATGGTTTGGGTTAAGAGGAACATTAAAGCTCATCCAGTCCCACCCCCTGCCACAGACAGGGACACCTTCCACTATCCCAGCTTGCTCTAAGCCCCATCCAACCTGGCCTTGAACACTTGCAGGGATGGGGCAGCCTGGGCCAGGGCCTCACCACCCTCACAGGCAAGAATTTCTTCCTGATATTTAATCTAACCCTGCCTTCCTTCAACTTAAAGCCATTCCCCCTTGTCCTGTCAAAATTACATGTGTAGCAGTATTTTAAATTAATTTAAAATTTGATCTTTTGTATTTGAGGTGTTATTTAATATGTGTGCCATTGTTTGTATTAGTCATTAAGTCTTTGGGCTTATGTCTTTTTTTTATATTTTAGAAGACCTCCCTCACTGGGTGCTTTCAGCTATGAAGTGCCTCGCATACTGTAAGTCACTGAAGAGTTTTTAAGTTATGGAAACTTATTTTGAATGTTGAAAGTAAATATTCATTATTATTTGTTTTATAATGCAATTGTGAAATTTTTTTGTGTGAATTTTCTTTCTTCACCTCTTTCCAGGGCCCAGAAACAATGACATGAGCCAAGCAACTTACAGTGGGTTTGAACGAGACGTGTTCAGAACAGTTGCTGATTATTTTCTCAGTCTCCCTGAGCCATTACTTACTTTTGAATACTATGAACTTTTTGTTAATGTTTTAGGTATGTATGAATTTAGAAAGGATCAGTGAAACTGTAAGTTCATATCAGCTGGGGAACGAATCTGTAAATCAAAGCAGACCTTGGTCCCTAATCTGTGTGGCAGCTCGAATCTTAGGAGGATCATCACTGCTCTCACTCTGTATTACAGTATTAATTGAAATGTAGTTCTGTCTTGTGATTTCCTATTTAAATTGCTGTCTGAGCTCACCTTCTAAATATTCAGTAACTTAAAAATACAGCTCATTCTGTCTGTCCTCAGTACTGCACTGTATTACCTTTCTTATTCTTGCATGTTGTTTGCAATTATCTTGCTAAGTTGCTTTTGAACTGAGCTAAATTCTTCTTAGGTTTTACTAACAGTCAACTGTAAATTAATATCTTCCCTTTGTTGTCTTCTCTGCTCAGGTAGCAGCTTTCAGAACTGGTTCATTTTCATACCACTTGCATCTTAACTTCTATTTCATTTTCTGATAGTTATGTGTGGCTACATCACAATTCCAGATCTGTGCAGTGGAAAACATTCTGTCCAAGATGAGAAATGTGACCCACAGCCTTCAAAAACTCTTCACTTGAACTCTTTCAAGTCAACTGAGTGTCTTCTCCTAAGCCTGATCCACAAAGAGCCTGACAAGAAAAAGAAAGATGAAGCTTCCAGAAGGTTTTCTTCAGAAGAGCTGACTGTCCAAAACCAACACACAAAAACATGGCAGCAATATAAACTGAGACAGCAGCAAGGTAGTGCTGGTAATCTGATAGGAGGAAGCTGCCAGAATCTTTCAGGTGTCAGGAAGGAACAAGATCCACCTGGAGCCTTTAGGACAAGGTGTTACTCCTTGGAAAGAATCGGAGCTGCTCCTTCAAGTGTGTGTGGTAAAGGAGGATGCGATTCCTTCAGGGAAGGTGGTGTGAACACCATCACAAGAAATGGAAACCAGTCATTGCTGTGTGAGCACAAAGCTAATTCTGTGTTGGAGCTGGGCTGTGATAACATCTGTCAAACACAAACCCAGGGCATCAAGAGAGTGTCTGCCTCAGCTCTGCAGGGTGAGCTGTTGGATGGCACTCACGTGTCAAAGCAGATGTGCTGCTCTCTGAGTTCACTGGGCAAGAGGAACTGCAGGAGCTGCACAGCCATTAACAGACCAGTTGCTGAAATCATAGTAAAGCCAAGGGCTCAGCTCTGGGAGCAAGGAAACCCAAATCCCTCTGGGGTGGCTGCTTCAGTGGACGTCAGGACTGAGGATTCCGAAATCACCATCAAAAAGAGACTCTGCAGAAGCAGCACAGAACTCTCAGAAAGCTCTTTCACCCCCTCCCCTTGTGTGTTGACTGGCACGCAAAGTAAGATGGCTTTCTGCAGCATGTTGTACTGCTTGTTGTATGGCCTGACTAATCTCTGCTTCCTCCACCTCTGGCACTGTTGCTAGGTTTGTTGAAATGCATAGAACATGGATTTGGGGTTTGTTTTTTTTTTTTTAAATCTGGTTGCTGAATAGCATTTTTTAAATTGCTGTAGCTCTGCTAATAGTAGCATGTAATGTTTTTGGAGTAAAAATTGATGTGTCAGTAAGTACCTTTCTGCTCAGGTAAGTGATAAGAGATCCTGCCCCAGACACTGAGAGTGAGAATTTGCACAGACCTGTCTGTTGGAGATGATGTATTTTTATGGTCTTTGAATAACATTTTCTGGGAATAACATTAGTGTCATTCTTTAATTGTATTATGGTCTTAAGTGCCTCAGCAATTTATCCTAATGCAGCAAGTTGAAAATGACTACACCAACAAAGGTCCTTACCTTACCAGCAGATTTCTCTGAAACATTGAAAATCATCTTGGTAAAATACAAGATTTCTGGTACTGTTGAAAAAATACACTGAGAGTTGATTCAAATCCTAATGCCAGCTGTCTTTGCAATTGCGTTGCAGATCTCCTGCAGCCTCACTTGGAAAGGATTGCTGTGGAAGCTCTACAGATCTGCTGTTTGCTGCTTCCACCCCCAAACCGTAGGAGGCTCCAGCTTCTGATGCGGATGATCGCTCGGATCAGTGGGAATGTTGACATGCCACGGCTGCACGATGCCATGGGCAACAGGTCCTTGGTAAGAAAGCCACAAGGGCAGTATGCCTGTTGTAAGAATGTTGCTGAATTAATGCTCAGAATCACTGCTTAAAGCAGGGAGGCAAGAACCTCAAGTTCAGCATGCTGCAAGTACTAACAGGCAGACTTTTCATCTCCAGAATACGCGCAGAAATCTGACTGAACAAGCACTTTCTTGTCTCTATCTAAGAGACCTTAAATATTCACGTTGCTGTTGTTTATGTTGGTGGAGAAATCACTTCTTAGAGGAATTCTTTAGTCTGATTTCTTATCCAAGTGCTATTTAGAATTACAGCATCAAAGAGAAGCTATGTCTGCCCTGTCCTTGGAAGTGTCCAGGGCCAGGTTGGATGGGACTTGGAGCAACCTGGTCTAGTGGAAGGTGTCCCTGCCCATGGCAAGGGGTGGGATTGGATGGGCTTTGAGGTCCTTCCCAACCCAAACCAGTCTATGATTCTATTCTGTGATTCTGTGAAGATGTACATTTTTCTATAGGTTTCAATAGGTTCTTTTTAATATGTGTTTCTTAATTGAAAGTGCCATTCAGTTCAAGAAAAGTAGAAGTCTTAGGTTATGAGAAGTTACTTTAAAAAACACTATTATCAATTTCCTTCCTTGCTTGACCAGCGGTGCAGGCAAGAAAAATTTCAGTGAAAATTGGTGTGAAGAATTTATTGTGCCGCTGTGTAGAGTGGAGAGAAAGCAAATAAATCCACAACTGTGTGTACTTACTGATGTACTGGACTCTCCCAGCTGATCCAGACATTTTCCCGCTGTGTGCTGCGCTGTGCAGAGGAAGTGGACCTGGATGAGCTGCTTTCTACACGACTGGTTTCATTTCTGATGGACCATCAGCAGGAAATATTCCAGGTCCCAATTCACCTGCAGGTCGCTGTGCGAGACCACCTTGAATATGTGCGGGTGGCTCAGGTTGGTGGTACCAGGGGAGTTTAAATTCATTTGCTCGTTGTTCTGAAGGTGGGATGGGAAAGTGCAAATAAAAGCAGTATGGTTTCAGTGTATAGATATTAATTATAATGTTTTGCAGCTGTGCTGCTACTGTAAATTAATGGGTGTGGATGTTTGTGAGTTCTTACTGAAATAGTACAGAATCAGCTGAGTATTTACAGACCCCTTTTTCTTCCAGTGCAAATGTCCCAAGGAAGAAATTTGTGCCGTATTGCCAACGTATTCGTACTGCAAACAAATCACTCCTCAGGAGTTCGAGGAACAAAAGGTTTCTACCTCTCAAGCTGCAGTGGCAGAGCTCTTGGAGAACATTATCAAGGATAAAAATTTGTCTGTGAAAGACAAAAAGAAAAAGTTAAAACAGGTGAGGAAGTTTCACCTGCTTCCGAAATGCCTTTGTGAGGGAAGGGCTCAGTCAACAGAGCCTGGTGCAGAAGAGGGGGGAAGCAGAGTGTTTCATGAGAAATACATGCACAGAAGAGCTGTTGGATGTTTCGTGTGCTCTGGTGGGGATTTTAAGGACAGTGTCTAATACTGGGGGAATGGCTTCCCACTGCCAGAGGGCAGGGATAGATGGGATATTGGGAAGGAATTCTTTGCTGTGAGGGCGGTGAGGCCCTGGCACAGGTTACCTGGAGAAGCTGTGGCTGCCCAATGCCTGCAAGTGTCCAAGGCCAGGTTGGACAGGGCTTGGAGCAACCTGGGAGAGTGGAAGGTGTCCCTGCCCATGGCAGGGGGTGGAACAAGGTGAGCTTTAAGGTCCTTCCCAACCCAAATCTTCCATGATAATATACAGCATTTGACACTGGCAGTAGGGGTGTTCAAATAATGGCTTAAAACCAGTATAAAGTTACTCTGAGATCCTGCTCTCCATTAAATAATACCTGATGGAATTAACAGCCTAGTTTCCTGTAGTGCATTGGCCTTCAAGTCACCATTAATATGCCATAGGTGAGCTTAAAACCAATAGCTGTTAAAAACAGTAATTTTTTGCTTTAAGAGGCCAACCTCTTTAACTGTTCACAATCCTGAATCGTTCTTTTTGTGGCCTTGGCTTTGTGTTTTGTAACATTTATATTCCTCAAGATTATCTTGCACTTCTCTGGCCTACTAATATCTTGCTTAATACTAAAGCTAAAACACTGCAGTTCTGGCAGGATTTAATCCTGGAGGGGTTTTTATTTTGCGGAAAAACTTTTGGCAAGTTCTTCTGCCCAATGGAATAGCTTTGTACTTGTCCTGAAATCTCCTAAGCAAATCTTGTGACTCAAGTTTAAACAAGCAGCTTTTCAGAGCAGGAACTCTTTGGTGCCCCTCCTCCAGCTCCTGCCACACTGAGTTTCATGTGTGTTGTGGAAACTTTCTAGGCCTGCAAAAGGGAGGCTGGACTTTGGTTCAAGATCATTACAACTTCCTGCATTTCAGACTTGAAATAAGTGAGCACTAAGATGTGATTCACAGCAACAGGTGAAAGAGGAGGAAGGAAATAAACTAAAATCTTCTAATAGTAAAATGTAAAAGTAGATAGTTAAATTTTTGATCAATTCTCACAAAGTCCAGAAGCAGCTTTGTACTGTGACGGCCACAGGTGAGCAAAGCTGAGTTTTAAATTTCCCAGAGCCATATCATTATAGTCCTGCCATTTGAGCTGGGATAGCCATGGTGTGATAAATCACAACTTTTGCAGTGATTGTTCAGCTTTGGGTACTTGGGGTAGGTTGAATCCAGCAGTGGAAAGGTTTGGCTGATGTTCAGGTTTGTTAGCTGTATAGATTATTTACAGTTAGTCATCTCTTCCCAAGGCCTGGCATGGGGAACAGGCCAAATATCATAAACACGTCTCTGATTCCAGGTATTTTCCTTTAGTTGTGTATCTGCAGGAATTGAAATGAGATGGAATCAGAGTGGTAAGGTTTTCAGTGAGAACCCCTCCAGAGCAGGTGAATCTTGGCTCCCAGTTGGGTAAAACAGACTTTTTAGCTGGAGATTTTTGATGGAGTGTGGGATTTTATTGTGATTGCTGCTTGTGTGTGCTCAGTTCCAGAGGGAATACCCCCAGATCTACCAGAACAGGTTCCCAACGACAGAGAGCGAAGCGATGCTGCTGGAGAACAAACCCACCATCAAGCAGCCCATGCTCAGCCTGAGGAAGCCCAGGTTCCGGAGCCTGAGGTATTAATGTCACCACACTTGAGCCATTTATCTCCTGGATGGGAGTCTGAATGATTCACCAGAGGAATTGCTGCAGGAATTTGATTCTGGCTGTGTGTAGAAGGAAGAAATGTTTACATGGACACTGTGCTGAAAGGTGCCAAAATACTCTTGGTTTTTATGCAGATATTTTTGAATAACTTCTAAGAGAGAAATATTTATCTGTTTACAAATTATTACAATATAGCGTGTGTAGGAAAAGGTGAAAATAAGCACGAAGCTGTTGTTAACCAAAAATTTATATATGGTTTTCTATGGGAAACTAATGACCTGCCTCTTGTAACCTTTTAATATCTGGTCAGGAATTTGTGTCATTTATTGTAGTTTGTGTAGGTTTTAATGTCTGTGTGTTGTGACTAAGTGCCTTCTCTATTCTCAAAATATTTGTCTTTAAACAAAAGAAGTTCTGTGAGTTCAGGACCAGGAGAGCCAGAAGTTCACCATGAATTTTCTGCCTCCCTAAAATGCTTGTGTTTATCTCATCTGTAAAACTCCTGTCAGCTTTTATATATTTATTTATATTAAAAGTCTTTAAGTATATTTCTGACATTTTCATGGAAAATTTATTTTGGATCTATTGGTGTGATTCTCAAAATAGGAGTGATGAATGATATTTGATATTAATTCTGGTAAGACCAAGGCTCCCCCACAGGAATATTTCTGGGAGAGAATAATTAATTATAATTAATTAATCTGCTGCATGGCTTTGAGATCCCAGACTAGTTTGGGTTGGGAGGGACCTTAAAACCCATCTCATTCTGCTTTCCAGCAGACCAGGTTGCTCTTTCCAGGGATAGGGCAGCCACACCTGCTCTGGGCAACATCTGGAACCAGATGTTTTGGAAGGATGGGTGCTTCCTTGGTGTGTTTGGCCAGTGCATGGTTCAGGTACCTCACCCAGTTTGCAGCTGTGCTCTGGAGATGCATCCCTGGTGCTCTGTCACATCTTGCCCCTTCCTAGGACAAGAATCTGAATTGTCCTTTTGCCTGCACGTGCAGAATTACATTCATTGCCAAAAAAACCACTCATCAAAATAAAGTAAATCTCAATGTTTCATCTTTTTACCTGCTTTGGGTTTGTTTGGGTGTTTTGATGTCTCGTGGGGAGGCTCTGTAAGAGTCTTATGCAAGGTCCCAGGCTCAGTCAGACACTTATTCCAGATGAGGGTCTTGGTTGAGGATTGTCACTTTTACATTTGTGACCATGAGGCTGGGCTTCAGTTTTTTCCCCAAATATATCCTTTTGCTCTTTTTTTTTTTTTGAAGCTTTTGTAACTGAAAAACCCAAATTAGCCCCATTTAACCTGTTTTAATGATGCTTCAATGTCCTGTAGATAACTTTCCACTTGGAGGGCAGGTGCAAGATGTTTCTCCCTTGTAACACCTGCAGTCAAGTCCTTTTAACACTCCAGTATCTGCCTGAACTTGATTCCAACATTTCCCAACCTGTTCCCTGTTGTTGTGTAAATGCTTTGTTTATGTGTTCCAGTTAAGTAACTGATTAGGTGAGAAGCTCACATTTTCCAGGATTTGGCTTTTAAAGGCCTGCCCTCATTTTTCCCAGTTCTTGATCCAGGTTATTTAATGTTCCCTTCTAAGATTTTGACAGAGCTTAACAGAAATGGGAATAAATGGACAAATTGACACACTGTGGGACAATAAAACATTCCAAATCAATGACAAAAATTCACATATGGAACTTAAGGCTACTCACACCGTCCTTTTTACAGCCTTGGATTATTTTAATCCACTTGAAACAGACAGAAGTCAATAACTGTTCCCTCCTTTTCCTGCAGAGAAAAGCAGGAGGAGTTGTTGGTGCTTGTGCCTCAGAGCACATTTTTTGCTAATTAGCACCAATAACTCCTTTTTAATAAACTCCTTATTAATTGCAAGGAATAGCAGTTCTGTAATGAGTTTGTGGGTTATCTGCTGTCCTGTGCTGTTCTGGTGTTGGTGTCACACCAGAGGAGTCACCTGGTCAGGTAACATTCAGGAGGAGAACTTCACTGCTGGTGTGTGGGGCCAAAGATGTTTTGAGATCTCTGCCTGGAGGAGGACAAGGCTGGGGAAGATGCTATCACCATGAACACATGGAATTTTCATGGCATCAAACATTAAGATGCAGTTTTGAGTCCTTCTCCTGGAATTAATTAAAAATCTCCACATGACTTGGAATGCTGAGAGGCCTTGAGTTTGCACTCAAGTTTATATTGAGTTTATTTATTGCCAGGAGACTTCCACTGAGAAATTACCATATAATTATGGTTATTAATCCAAAGAATTAATGGGAGGCCTCAGTCACAGCTCATGAAGGCTCAATGCCTTCAGTGAGAAGCCTCAAATGAACCCTCAATCCAAATGGGAACACTCTGTCTTGAAAAGAGGGAGCAAACAAACAAAACCAGGGAAGGAAGCCAAGCTTCACGTGATGATTGTGGCAGCAGATCAAACAGAGGGATGTTTAAAGTCTATTTTTCTCCTTTCACCCCAGCTTTGATCACTGTGTCCATCTAACATGGGAGGAGCACCCAAATGTACATGGTATTATGGAACATCTTCATCTTCTGCCATGAACTGCCTGTGAGGGGACAGCACTAAACTCTGATTTCATTAATCTTTGAAGTCACTCTTCACAGCACTGTTGTTTTCATAAATGTTGACTCTTGCTACAGGTGGTTCCTGATGATGAGCCTGGAGAAGGAGATGGAGGGAGACCTCTGGGTTGGCAGCTCTGATCTCTGCTCTGATGACCAGCGAACGGCTGGAGCTGTGCCAGGAGATATATAGTCTGGATATCACAAAAAGGTTCTTCCCCAGAGGGTGGTCGGGCACTGAACAGGCTCCCCAGGGCAGTGGTCACAGCACCAAGGCTGCCAGAGCTCAAGCAGCATTTGGACAATGCTCTCAGGGATGGGGGGGATTGTTGGGGTGTCCTGCACAGGACCAAGAGTTGGACTCTAATTTGTGTGAAATCCTTCCAAATCAGGTTATTCCAGGATGTTTGACACTGGCATCTCCTTATCTCTGGGTGTCTCAATGTCGTGTCACTCCAAGGTGAGGCTCTGGAAGAGCCATTCCCTGCTGCCCTGGGTCCATGTTGAATCCAGGCAGGTCTCCTGTGCCCTGTGGTGCCAGAGCAGGACCCAGTGCCGGTGCCAACACCTGGCATGGCTCCAGCACGCTCCGTTTCACTCCTCCTTGGGATTTTTTTCTTTGTAATCACTTCTGCTTGGGAAGAATTTAGGTCTCAGAAAAGCAGTCAAAGCCCTTTTTTGTGTGGAGGGCAGGACAAAAGCTCCCAAACCCGGGAGGATTTGGGTGGTGAAAGCCGGCTCTGTTCCCAGGAGGCTCTCACTGGCAGGGGCTTCCCTGGGCAGGGCGGGCTCAGCACCCCATAAATACCCTGCACACAGCTCTGCTCTGAGCTTGGCTGCGGAGGCTCAGGCCCTTCATCAGGGAGAGGATGTACAGCCAGTGAGTATTCCTGAAGCTCCTCTCTATGGGAGACGATCATGGATCACCATCTTGGTGGAGCATTGGCTGGGGCAGCTGTAGGGTTGGAGGTCAGCGTGGTTCGGGGGGCAGGAGGAGGAGGAGGAAGGTCTCCCTGTGTCAGTGTTCATGCTGGTAGTTCCTGTTCCAAGGTGTGGTTCTGGTCCAGGAGGACAGGCTCACCTCCAGGTTCCAGGGGATAGTCCAGAATTTGGAGTCATAGAATCCCAAATGGGTTTAGGTTGAAGGGACTGTAAATCCTATCTCATTCCACTCCCTTTCCACTAGACCAGGTTGCTCCAAGCCCTGTCCCACCTGGCCTTGGACACTTCCAGGGATGGGGCAGTCACAGCTGCTCTGGGCAGAGCACACTGGTCTGTCTGCTGTGTCTTCATGGGATTTGCAGTGATAAAATTGGAACCCAACAATTAATTCTTTGCTTAAAGAAAAAGAAAGGAAAAAGGCAAAAAAAAAATCTTCTCCAAGACCTGAGAGATAAAAGCTGGATTCTGCTTCCTAATGATCTGACTATCCTGGATTTATCAGTGGATGGGGTGTTTGCTGCAGGGCTGTGGTGTGGGCTTTTCCTCAGTGTTCCCTCTCCCTCGACACACTCAGCCTTTTCCTCCATGAAGTTCTCGTGCTTCTCCCTCCTGATGCCTCAAGTTCTTTGCAAGTCATGGCTCAGTCTGTCCAGAAGAACTGCCCCTCCCTGGGAGCAGGTTCCCAGCACTGCCCATCTCAAGCTAACCTAGCTTTACCCTTCCAGAGTGGAGCATCCAGCCGGGGGCTACAAGAAGCTCTTTGAGACGGTGGAGGAACTGTCCTCTCCAGTGACCACCCATGTCACAGGTTGGTCTGGTCCCTGATCTCCTGCCTGGCTTTGTTCACAGAGCTCAGGGGCCTCCAGGGCTCAGAGACTTCACTGGAAGTGAAGGACTTCACAGGGCTAGGGATCTGGGGTGGAGGAAGGAGAGACTGGGTGGGAGAACCTTTAGATATTTCAGTACTGAATATCTTGGTCTACATCAAGTGTGGTGGGGAAGAAAACAGAGTTTAAAGACCTCATGGGTGTTTAAATAAGAAGTTGCATAAGCCTTAAAAAAAATAAGTTTGAAGTTTTGTTCTTTTTGTTGTCACCATAAAAATTCCTTGGTCTGATTTGCCGTGTGCATCCCAACGCTGCCTCTCCCACAGGCCGGATTCCTACCTGGCTGCGAGGAAGCCTCCTGAGGTGTGGTCCTGGCTTGTTCGAGGTGGGCTCGGAGCCCTATTACCACCTCTTCGATGGCCAGGCATTGCTCCACAAGTTTGACTTCAAGGAGGGGCACGTCACCTACCACAGAAGGTACATGGCAGTTTTCCAAGGAACGAATACATCGGGAAGCATTTGCTTGACTGGGAGTGTTGGGGACAGGCTCTGGAAGGCACCAGTTATTTTTAGTCCATGGGATTATTGGAAGAGCTTGATCAGTGATATCATTAAACCAGCTCCAAGTGCAACATGAGGCTGTGGGGACCCACGGCTCTCGAGAGCTTAATCACAGGAATATTCATATTTATTCATATTTATTCATATTTAACTGCACAGCCTGTTGTGGTTTTATGTGTAAGGGGGTTTCTCCTCCTCACCCTCCCAGGTTTATCAGGACTGACTGTTATGTGCGAGCAATGACGGAGAAAAGGATTGTTATAACGGAGTTCGGCACCTACGCTTACCCAGACCCCTGCAAGAACATCTTCTCCAGGTACTGGGGTCCTGCAGCTGCTGCAGCCATGTCCCACAGAGCTCCTGCTTCCCAGAGGCCCTGACTGCCTGTCCATTCTCTCTGCTCAGGTTCTTCTCCTACTTCAAAGGTGTGGAGGTCACAGACAACGCCCTGGTTAACGTCTACCCTGTGGGTGAGGATTACTATGCCTGCACCGAGACCAACTTCATAACCAGGATTAACCCAGACACCTTAGAGACAATTAAGCAGGTGGGTTTTTGTCCTGGGATGGAAAAGTTATGGAGCAGTAAAACTAAAATGAAAATCATGTAATTACATACTGTTTTCAGTTGGCAGGGACCTTAAAGCTTCATTCCACCCCCTGCCATTGGCAGGGACACCTTCCACTATCCCAGGTTGTCCCATCCAACCAGGCCTTGGACCCTTCGAGGGATGGGGCAGCCACAGCTTCTCTGGGCAACCTGTGCCAGGGCCTCACCACCCTCACAACCAACAATTCCTTCTCAATATCCCATCTAATCCTGACCTCTGTCAGTGGGAAGCCACTCCCTGTGTCCTGTCCCTCTAGGCCCTTGTCCCAAGTCCCTCTCCAGCACTCTTGGAGCCCCTATAAGCCCTGGAAGGGGCTCTAAGGTCTCCCTGGAGACTTTTCCAGGTAAATACTCCCAGCTCTCCCAGCCTGTCTCCAGAGCAGAAAAGCTCCAGCCCCTGGAGCTCCAGCTCTGTGTTCATGCTTGGGCTGGAGTTTGCAAATTGGAACTCAATTGCAGCCTTAGAAAAGAACTTCTCACATCCAATGCAAGGATATATTGAGTCATGACACCTTGCAGAGCCAGTGACTCCCCATTGCCTCCCAAGAAAGCTCCTGATTGTCTCCATTTTGTTCTCCAGGTGGATCTCTGTAAATACGTGTCCATTAACGGGGTAACGGCTCATCCCCACATTGAGGACGATGGGACAGTTTACAACATTGGGAATTGCTTTGGAAAAAACTTTGCCCTCGCCTACAACATCATCCGGATTCCACCACTGCAGGCAGGTCAGTCAGTCCTGCCTCTGAGCCATGTGGGAAAATCTTAGAAACCATTTCTTCATCCTTTAAATGCGTCTTGCCATTGAGGATTGTTTTTTTTTCAAGCTTCTTTAGATTTTATTTGCTTTTTAAGTGCTGTATTTAAAACACTTCCAAGTGGTTTCTAAACCATGAATTTCCTTTGTGTTAAAGGCAGACATTTGCTGGGTAAATATGTACAGACTATGTTAACCCCTCCTTGTCTGTCCCATTCCAGACAAGGAGGACCCGATGAACAAGTCACAGGTGGTGGTGCAGTTCCCCTGCAGTGACAGGTTTAAGCCGTCCTACGTCCACAGGTAACATTCTATGGGGTCAGCAGGTCAGCTGGAACCAGGGACTTGTTCTCACATGTAATCAGCAACAAAAACTAGGTTGTTTACCAAAAGCAGGGTAATTGTAAGGGATGATCCATGTGATGAGATGAAGCACTATGTGGTTGTTGTCCAAACTAAGCCAGTGAGCCTGACCTGATGTGCCCCCCTGCATTTCTAAACAGCTTTGGGCTGACCTCAAACTACATTGTGTTTGTGGAAACACCAGTGAAAATCAACCTCCTCAAGTTCCTCTCCTCCTGGAGCCTCTGGGGAGCCAACTACATGGACTGCTTTGAGTCCAATGAAACCATGGGGGTAAGCAGAGGGTCATCCCCAAATGGGGTCTGGGCAGCCAGACCCACACTGGGAGGTCCATGGTATTGGTTTCACCTTCATTTCCCTGAGCCTTATCCAGGCTACTGGTTGGTTCTCAGGTGTGGATCCATGTGGCCGAGAAGAAGAAGGGCCGGCTCCTCAACATCAAGTACCGCACCTCGGCCTTCAACCTCTTCCACCACATTAACACCTATGAGGACAACGGGTTCCTCATCGTCGACCTCTGCACGTGGAAGGGGTGAGTCCGAGGGGCCCTGGGCACCACAGCTCCCCCTGAATGAGCTGGGGAGGCCAGTGGAGCCCTGCACCAGACAGTGCTGGAATCACTTCTGGCACTTGGCACCAACCCATCTAATCACTAACACATGGGGACATGCAGACTACACAGCATGAAGATATCCAGAGGTGCAAGGAGCCTATTTGACATTCATTTTCCAAGAAAAAGAAAATTTTATCTTATGTTTACTTTAATAAATGTCAGTGACTGCTGAAGGCTGATGCTATTCTGGCTGGGGCTGCAGTGAGCAGGGTCTGGGTGAAATTTGAATGCTGCTCTTTGTGTAAACACAGAGATGTGGCACTGAAATGGTGAAGCCCAACCCTGTGTTGGCTGCATACCCAAGACACCCTGAGTTGAGCTGATCCTGGCACAGAGTTGTAGGATCCCAGAGTGGTTTGGGCTGGGAGGGACCTTAAAGCTCATCTTGTTCCACCCCCTGCCATGGGCAGGGACACCTTCCACTCTCCCAGGTTGCTCCAAGCCCCATCCTGTGCTTGTGCTGAGCACCAGCATTTGCTGGTTTTCCTCCCAGGGAACACGGAGCACACACAGCTCAGCTCTGCCAAGGAGCTAGACTGGGACTTGTGTTACTCTGTGTGCCCAGAGAAGCTGTGGCTGCCCCATTCCTGGAAGTGTCCAAGGCCAGGTTGGACCGGGCTTGGAGCAACCTGGTCTAGTGGAAGGTATCCCTGCCCATAGCAGGGGTTGGAACAGGATGAACTTTAAGGTCCCTTCCAACCCAAACCATTCTATGATTCTACTGAATTTTAGGGAAAAAACATCTGCACTTCAACTCCCACTTGCAAACCCATCTCTGTTTCTCTCTGTGATGCTGTTTCCCTGCAGGTTTGAGTTTATTTACAATTACCTGTACTTGGCCAACCTTCGGGGAAACTGGGATGAGGTGAAGCGCCACGCAGAGAAGGCCCCGCAGCCTGAGGCCCGCAGATATGTCCTGCCCCTCAACATCGACAAGGTACCCACTCTGGCCAGCACAGGGCTCTGCCTGGTTCAAATTCAACATTTTCATGAGAAGAGGAAACTTAAAGGAGAGGTCCTCAGAGAAACTTTATTTTTGCTTTAGCTCATCAGGGTTATTCTGGTTTATTTCCCATACAACTGCTGAGAGTGGTTGTGGCTGCCCCAGCCCTGCAAGTATCAAGTCCAGTTTGGATGGGGCTTGGAGCAACTTGGGATAGTGGAAGGTGTCCCTGCCTATGTTAGCGGGTGGAATGAGATGGGCTTTGAGGTCCCTCCTAAACCAAACTCTTTGATGATTCCATTCTGTTCGTAGCAGAGGCTGTGGGGCAGAAACTAATCCTGGAAGCTACTGCTCCTGGGAGGGGAGAAGGGGGCAGCTGCAACTCAAGCGTGTGTGGTTCGATCCTCTAGCCCTCAGTGTGAGGTCCCTGGAGCTGCCAGCCTGGCACAGAGCTCACTGGCTGGCAGCTGCTGGGTTCCTTTCCAGCTCTCGTGGTCCCTGGTGGGTGGGCCAGGGCCTGTCAGGGCTGTGCTCAGCCGAGCCGCCCATGGAGCTCACTGGGCTGCAGATTGAGTGAGAAGTGCAAGCCCACGTGGCAGTGCTTAATGAAAACCTCTGAATGTCCCAAGGAGGGGAAAAAAGTTGTGTTTACAAGCACAGTGATGGCTGAGGAGCAGGACAGTTCTGCACTACTGCCAAGAACACGGCAGCAGTCGCCTCCCTGCAGCTCCCGAGGCTCTGCTGTGTGCTGCCGCCTTCCCTGGACCATGTTTGCGACAGATCTGTGCAAAGACACTCAGAAATGTGTTCCTCCAGTCTCCTGGGTGTTTCTCTTTGTGCCAGGCTGACACAGGGAAGAACCTGGTCACCCTGCCCTACACGACAGCCACAGCAACACTGCGCAGTGACGAGACCATCTGGCTGGAGCCTGAAGTGATTTTCTCAGGGCCGCGTCACGGTACAAATGAGACCCCAAATCCCAACAGCACAAGTACTGCCTGCACTCCCTGCCCCACTGATCCTCATGCTTTTATATATTTATTTTTTATTGCAGCCTTTGAGTTCCCACAGATCAACTACAAGAAATACAGTGGGAAGCCATACACATATACGTATGGGCTGGGGCTGAATCACTTTGTCCCAGACAGGGTAACTATCAAAGAATGGGTGATGGTTTCAGTTTGGGGACAACAAAGAATATTTCTGAGCTGGGGTTTTTGGTTTTCCCCTCCTTTAGCTCTGCAAGCTGAACGTTAAGACCAAGGAGACCTGGGTGTGGCAGGAGCCGGACTCGTACCCGTCGGAGCCCATCTTTGTTTCCCATCCGGATGCTCTGGAGGAAGATGATGGTAATGCTCATGGGGTTTGGGTCAGCTGGCACCAGGCTGGCTGCAGGGCTGGGCCAGAGGTGGGCAGGGGCAGAGCCCACAGGCAGCTCCTGGACCAGATGTGCCAGGTACTAACAGTGGTGGGAAGTTTCTGAGGAAATTTCTGAGGAAAATTAAATGAAAACAGAGGAGAAAGACCTCAAGGTCTAGATGAAATTTTGTCTTCATTTTTTAGCTTTTTGACAATTTTCTCACAGTTTTAAAAAGAACTATAGGAGCTGCTGTGCCACAGCACCACAGGCTGGCAAAGCCAGCAGTGGCAAGAGCCCAAATAGTATGAGAAATAAATATACAATCATAGAAGCATGGAATGGTTTGATTTGGAAGGGATCTTAATGATTATTTAATTCCAGCTCCCTGCCATAGGCAGGGACATCTTCCACTATCCCAGGTTGCTCCAAGCCCCGTCCAACCTGGCCTTGGTAACTTCTAGGGATGGGGCAGACACAGCTTCTCTGGATAGCCTGAGCCAGTGTCACCACCTCCCTCAGCACCGTTGATCACACAATTCCAATGGGATTTACAGTGTTTGAGTGCGAATGGCTGCTCTCTCCATGCCCAGCCCTGGGGACAGACACTGCCCACACTCACCTGGGATATCCCCTTCGTGTTTTCACTGCAGGGGTTGTGCTGAGCATTGTGATCAGCCCAGGCACGGGGCCCAAGCCTGCCTACCTGCTCATCCTCAGCGCCAAGGACATGAGCGAGGTGGCCCGGGCCGAGGTGGAGGTGAACATCCCTGTGACCTTCCACGGGTACTTCAAGAGAGCGTGACCCTGCCAGCCACGCCTCACCTGGGTCTGTTCCAGTTCCCAAAGGGGCAGTCTCCGTTTACAGCCACCTACAATCCTTCGACATCCCCTTTTGTTTGTGTGGCTGCGTCATTCACAGTGAGTGCTTCAATTCTGGCCATGATTCTTCAATATGCTTGATCAGGTATTTTTTAAATACAACCTTTGGCATAATTTCCAGTTAAAACACCCCAAGTTTGGTGTGGTGGTGGTTCCATTTTTATAAATTTAATCCTTGTAGCTGCAGCAGAGTGAAAGATGCCTGAAAGAGCAGAGTGTAACCTCAGTACTTCTACACATGGTAACATTATATACAACAGTCTCTGCTCTGTTACATGTTTGAGAATTTTTAGCCTATACTGAAGTATTATGGATTTAAATCCCCTCCTGGTCACTGCTTTAGTATCCTCAGAGCAATCCAAGTGGAGCCTTTCCACAGCTGCTTTGAGAATCTGAACTGGGTGACCCAGAGCTGGTGGCAGACAGAGTTTTGTTCTTCACTAAGGCTGCAAACTGCACACACTCCCTCCTGTGTTTGCTCTTTCTCCTTTCTTTTGCCAAAGTGCATTTTCTTGATTTCTGTATTTCATGCTAAAACATGAACATGAAAAAATCAAGCATTTGTTACCCCTTGGGCTGATCTTGCTTCCTTAGAGTGCTACAGATGCTCAGCTTTATCCTTCCTTCTCACAAAATAAACTTTCAGCTGATGTTAAAAGAGGCTCTGGTTGAAAATAAACGCTTCCTGCTGATAGACTTAAAATCTGGCCTTCTTGTTTGTCTTCAATCGTTCAACATTTTTATTAATAGTATCAAAGAATTAGAAAATCCTTTACACTCAGAGTTCTGGCAGGTGGTGCTGGCTCTGCAGGGCTGCTGGTTTGAGGGTGGAGATTACATCCTGATGATGGGATAGCGACATGGAGACACGGCCTGGTACTTGTGCTGTTCCATGATGTCCAAGCACTGGGCAATCACCTAATTAAAAACAAAAAAAAACAATATAAGCAATGAGCCTTAAACAAGCAAACAAAAAAATCAGTAAAACTTGCCAGTTCTGCACTTATTTGTTCCTTCTTTTTGTGAGGCACTGAACATGGTAAAATGAACAGTTCAACTCTCACATATTTTCTTTTCATGTGTAGCTCCCAGAGAAAGGAATTTCAGGGCTCTAGGACTCAAAAACACTTCTTGGTACTCCCCCATTATCAAAATTCCCATTAAACTCCACGAAAAATATTTGAATTCCACATAGTTCCATAAATATGTACCATATTTAGAAGGGTTGTGTTGTGGTTTAACCCTAGCTGAAACCAGGACAGATAGAGATCTTCAAGTATTTGTGATCTTCATGTGAACAAACTTCAGAAGTGCAAAGAACATTTTTATTGCTAATGAAGGAAAAACAGAAGAACAAAGGCAGTGCCTTTTAGAAAGAATGGAGGGATGTCTGCCAACTTCAAAAAAATACAAAGCCAGAGGGGGAACCCAAATGGACACAGGAAATTACAAGCAAGAAGAGAAAGTTGCAAAAAGCAACTTCCTAGGACCAAAGAATGGAAACAATGGGGATGGTAAGGAGCCTGAAATTCAGAGTTGAAGATATGGGTGATTACATGGAAAAAAAAAAAAAAAGAAGATTCAGATACAGAATCAAAGAGTAAAGTCCATGAAGATGCTCAGTGAGGAAATGCTCTAGTCAAGTAACTAGAATTCAACACAAACTTTGTGGATAAATGGGGAAAGAGAAAGGATGAGAATTACAGAGCTAAATTCCACAGTAGTGGGAGCCCCAGGTCTGGAATCAACATACTGCTGACCTTGAGTGAGTCATGGGCTTATACATTTCGCTGCAAGATCCTTGTGAAATCTGGGAATAAGATGCACTAAAAGGAAAACCCACCTTTCTAGTGTTTTGAGGTAGAATGATTCCATCATCCCAGAGTCTGGCAGAGGAGTAAAATGCACTGCTTTCTTCCTCGAGCCTGGAGAGGAGAGGACAGAACAGGCTTAAAAGCACGATGAAAACATCAGGGCAGTGAAAAAGTCATAGGTGAAACAGGCAAATATTTCCATGCAGCCCTGCTGTTAAAATGAATCAGAATCCAGAAAATAACACAACAGATCTGACCATTCTGCAGCACAGACCAGCTTGAGAAGATCCTAACAGAGAGACATAAAATTATATGGACATTTAAAATATTTTTCAGCAGGTTCAGGTTTGCGTTATTAGTTTGAGATGTGTTGCTCTGTAAGATGAACAAAAATAGGCAATAATGTCCTTACTTTGCCTTCAGCTGTTTCAGCTCTGATTCATCTGTACAGTCACTGTCCCCAGCTTGGGGGACTGTGGAGAAACTTCTTGAATCCACAAGAGCAACTCTTGCATTAGGCCACAGGAACAGAAAGTTTGGACTGAACGATCTCCCACACTACAAAGAAAAAACAAAAGCACAATGAAACTCACTGAAGTCAATCACAAAAGGTGTCTGTGGATGGCACAAAGAAGATCAAGGCAGAATGGAATACCCTTGAATTTGTAAAGCATTAATGACAGCTCCTGTATCAGCACAGACACCCAGCGGTAGGAACCACCACCATCCCCACTGCCTTCAATACCCCTGTTTTGGTATTTGAGTTTTAACTCCAAGGACTTACATGTTTCACTCTTACATGTTTAATTTTCAGTAACCATGTCCTGTGCTGCATTTCTTACTTAAAAAGCAGTTCAGAGATGGAGGTAACTGACTGTTTTAAAACTGCAGGGCTGTGAAGTTTTAGCACAGTGTGAAAGGTGTGTCCCAAGCCCTTGGGCTGATCCCACCCCTACCATGACGTAGCTGTCGCTCCCGTAACAGCCCCCGATGACGATGGTGATTTTGGGAACAGCAGCACAAGCAACAGCAGCCATCATGGAAGCCTGGGCTTTCAGCCTGTTGGAATGAGCCTCTGCCTGGAATAAAAAGAGACATTTTAGCTCCTTTAAGACTTTATTCTAGATCCCCTCTGCTCCCACCAAACTCGTATTTCTAAACATTTATTATTTACAATTCTATGTGATCATTTCTTCCACAACAGAAAAGCAGCATCATTAACTGACTGGTATCATTAACTCATACATATCATAAATAACTCATATCACTAACTCATAAGCCTGTTATACACTTATTTTAATACTTAAATCAGCACAGCAATTATAACCAGGTGCAAATGCCTATAGCACTGAGCAACTCATTTGTGCCAGGTTTTGTCTAAGGGCTGGTGACCTTGGGAGGAACAAGGCTGCAGAAGCAGATCTGGGAATCTAGTGGAGGTTTTACTGTGAGGCTCTACACTTTTCTAAAAGAGAAATAGCTAATTTTCTGAAGTGCAGTGGTGTCAGAAGAATCAATAAACTGTATTTCAAAGTAAAAAGCACTTTCAAATTCCAGGTTTTACAGCCTGCATTGCCAGCTGAGCACTATAATTTTATATAGGCATACAAACCTGCTTAAAATTCAAGAGAGAATGGAGAGATTTAAGAACAAAGTCATTATGAAGCTTCATGATTTAAACCATTAAGAGTGGTTTAAAAAAAACCCAATTTTCCTAACAATTAATAACTGTGAAAAGGTAACTTTAGGCACAAGAAGAACTAGGAATTGCTTAAGTATATGGAAGCAAATATGCCATACCTGTGAGATGCTTGTTGGCTCTGCTGGCTGTGGAGGAGTATTTTGGAGGAAGATGATGGGAATTCCCCGCTGGCCACAGAGCTGGACGAAGTGGCTGCCCTTGAGCGCAGCATCATGAGCCAGCTCCCCGTTGTTGGCCACTATCCCCACCAAGTACCTACAGAACAAGACACGTGGACAGTTGGACTCAATCATCTTAGAGGTCTTTTCCAACCTTAACCATTCCTTTTCACTTTTGAACCCTAGAAATTATTGAAATAGTGTAAAACCTGATGGTGATCCAAAAGCTGTTCAGACATGTGCGTCCATCCATTTTGATAGTGAATGTTCACAGCCTTACCCTTCCACATGGCCAAATCCTGTTACTAATGTTGTTCCATAATTAGCCTTGAATTCCTGGAATCTGCTTCCATCCACCAAACGGCTCAGAATCTGCAAAGAAACATGCAGATTTTATTTTATTACAGAAATTGAAACAAAATAGGATAATTCTGCTAAAAGAAATGCTCTTTTCAAATAGTAGGCCTGTGTTGTGCAGGAAATCCACCTCAATGAACACAGAAGGTCTTCTGGTGTCTTGCTAAATACTCAATATTCACAAAACATCCAATCTGTGTTTAGTTTAATTACCAGCCATGTATTTTGAGCCAAATCCAACTCAGAAATTAGTTCAGTGTTTCAAAGCACAGTTGTTCATGTGCATAAAAATGTAAAAAAATCCAACATGTGCAGTTACAGATTTTGTGCATAAGAAACACTCTGTTGCATATTGCTCAGGCTTTTTTCCAATACAATTAAAAGCCATTTCCAAAGCTACTCTGCTTTCTACAGTCAATCCCCTTGACTGCAAGAATTCACCACTAGAAAAGATACTGAATTCACATCCTTGCAGACTAAATCTCATCTAGAACACAATGAAAATGGCATGGGCAGCAGTGTCTCTGCTTAAGTATTAGTGTCTGTCCCGACCTCAAACAAGTTTAATTTGATCTGTGTTGCTTTTTCAGTCAAGCATTTCTGTTGTATGACAGTCTTGATTGCCTGGGGTGGAAGAAACAAAAAACAGGAGGAGGGGAAAACCAGACTCTAAAGGGGTGCATGTTCTCAAGGCAGCCAACACAGTACAAGCCATGCTGACACAACAGCATCTCAACAGTGCATGGAAACAGATGGGGATCACCTGGCATAATCTAGAATTATCTAGAATGTATCTTATCTCCAGCAGGATTTCAGTTAAAATATTTTCTATAATTCCACAGAATCGCTGCCATCCTGCTTTGTTGCAGGCTCAGGACAGGCTGGCAACAGATGAGGTAAAAATACATATTCTTCAAGAGAGAACAGTCTGTTAATCTGGAGCGATGAGACAGAGCAGACAGAGGGAGAAAGGAACGCAGTTCCCTGTCCCCTTACCAGTTTGACAGGAAGAGTACACCTGTAGTCCTGTGGTGCCAGTCCCAGGAGCTCCTCAGAGCTGTACAGGGGACTGTCGTGCTCTGTGTCCTCCTCTGGCACTGGGTCATAGTTTAACGTAGAGATAACATTGCGAATACATTCATAGGCCTCCTTTTCTGAAGGTGCAAAATGGTCAGTACAGCCACTGACTCTAGGATAGAGAGCAACACTGATTAGCATTGAATTAATGAAATCTAAACTGCTAGAAAGCCCAAACCAAAGGAAAAAACCTTAATCTGTACTGTGGCCCTCCAAACTCCCTGCAAATACTGTGTGATTTTGTTCTGGATGAACGAGCTGAAAGCAGTAGCTCAAGGGAATTTCTGTGCAATCCAACTCGAATTCACAGTAAGAAGTTCTTCCCTGTGACTTTTGTGTTTATCTGGATTAAAGAAAGACCTTTGAATGTGTTTTCATGATGCTATTTTTACAAACAATATTGAAAAGGGAAAATGGGAAAACAAACTTTAGGAATTATTTCAAAATAAGCAGTTCCAGACTGGATAAAAAGTAAATAAGACAGGTAGTTAAATTAAATATATGTATCCTGGAAAACACTAGGAAAACAGGTGATAGTATCTCTCTTCTGAGCTGGTCCCTCTGAGGCACAGAGGAACTGACTTGCCTGAAGTTGTTCAGGAAGCATGCGGAACAATGGGAATCCAAATCCAATTGGTCCAGTCTCTGCCTCACCCCATAGCAACATGTAATTTTACTTCCATTTGGCTGATTTAATCAAAATCCCTGAACCTGAGAAGGAAAACCAGTATAGTCACAGGTTCCCCTTTTGGCCCTGCTCTGAAATGACAATGCTATGTTCCTTTAAAGCTGAATATGCTGAATTCTGTACTATTTTTGAGAAGATTCCACATACTGTGAGTGAAGTTTGGCTCCTCCAAGGTCCTCAGGAGACACGTATTCTCCTGTAGCAGCTTTTACAAGTGGTGGGCCAGCCAGGAACAGTGTCCCAATTTTATCTATGATCACGGCTTCCTCGGCCATGGTGGGCACGTAGGCACCTCCAGCAACACAGGAGCCACACACTACGGCCACCTGAGGGCACAGAAACCGCAACAGCCAGTGCTGGAGAGGGGAGAGGAAAAGCCAAAGCCCAGAGTTGTTCCAGAAATGCTCAAGGTGCTAAATCATAGCTTGGGGAACAATGAACTGGAGATATAAAACCAGCAGGAACAACAATGCTGGTTTGGAGAGTTCAATGTTTACCCTGAAATAACCCTGTGATTTGATGCTTTTCCATCACAGTCAGTCAGGAAACACAAGATCCTTAAGGCTGAAATGTTCCCTTATGTGAGATAACGTACCTGGCACTGGTGAGGCCCCACCTCTGGCCCTGCGTCCAGTTCTGAGCCCTTCTCAACAAAAGACATTGAGGGGCTGGAGTGAGTCCAGAGAAGGGAGCAGAGCTGGGGAAGGGTTGGAGCACCAGGAGCAGGTGAGGGAGCTGGGGGGGGCTCAGCCTGGAGAAAAGGAGGCTCAAGAGGGACCTTCTGGCTCTCTGCAACATCCCTGACAGGAGGGCGGAGCCAGGTGGGGGTTGAGCTCTGCTTCCAGAGAACAAGGGACAGGACAAGAGGAAACAGCCTCAAACTGTGCCAGGAGAGGATTAGATTGGATATTGGGGAACTTTTTTTCACAGAAAGGGTTTAAAGCATTGAAACACACTTCTCAGGAAAGTGGTGGAGCCACCATCCCTGGAAGTTTTCAAAAATCGTGGATATAACACTTGGGAACGTGGTTTAGTGGTGAGCATGGTGGTGGTGCTGCACTGACAGTCTTGGTGATCTTCAAGATTTTTTTTCAACCTAAACAATTCCATGATTTGATACCATTTGAGTCTCCTTTCCCCACAAATAGATTTAGGAGTTTTTCTGCACATCTGAGAGTTGCTCCTAGAAACTGTACTGGAACAAATATTTTTTTCAGAACTCAATGGATCACACAGACCACCCTCACTTGCCATCCCCATGACATTGTACCTGAGGGATTCCCATGGCAGACATGATTGCTTCATTGTAGAAAATCCTGCCACCGTGCAGCTTGTCAGGAAACAGCTCTGACTGATGTACAGAGAAAAGAGAAAGTGAATTTCAATATTAACTATGAAAGCTGGTGCCTCCTCTTCACTCCATTCATTCCCAAATATGATGTAACCGACCCTGGGAAGGTCCTCACTCACAGTCACACCTGAACCTTTCATATACAGCATTCACTATGGTATTTATTTCCTTATATATTGTGAAATCCCAAAAAAAACCCATGTGTTTCAAAAGAGGTAAGTTTCATGATTTTTGTGAAGCTAATTTATTCTACACAAACTGAGACTGTAAACATGGAGAAGTGGAGGCTCATGCTCCTACTTTATCTGTAAAATGCCTTTAGCAGTTCCTCTTTTTAGTTTTTGATACAACTCTTTAAGTCACATAAAAGCTTTTGCTCTGTGCTTGCTTTCAGTGTGGACAGGGAACAACCACAATCTCTGTCATAGGATGACCTTTTCCATTGGAAAGGAACCTGTGCAAACTCTCCTTTTGTATTAAGAATTGCAAAAATTGCACTTTTAAAGGCCATGGAGGTTGGTGCATTGCTAGCACAAACAAGGCAATAAAACAGAGAAAACTATAGATTCTGAAGCCTCTCACACTATGTACTGGTTTACTAAAGACAGAAAAGCAGCTCTGCACACTCATTCAAGATTCTAAACTCTGAGTAGATGCAAGATTAGCCAAAGGGATGAAATAACACAGATGTTTTCTCCTCTGCAGTGATGCCAGCATTACCTGCAGTGGTAGGAATGCTCCTCCACTGTCCACAAGGTGCACAGACAGCAGCCTGTTCTCCATGGCAATTTCTTGGGCTCTTAACTGTTTTTTCACTCCAATTGGGTAAATAGTTCCTCCTTTCACAGTGGCATCACTTGCCACAAAGACACACCATATTCCACAGATTTTGCCAATTCCTGCAATTGAATTCAAATCAGTTCCACAGATACTTATTGTGACTCTCTAAGATAATACAGACAAAACAAGGGGGCCAAATTATAGCCAAGAGGTTTTTTTCAGTAATACTGTATCAAGAAGATCCAAATTAAACTGAAAATACCACAAAGGAGAGAAATCTATCCCTCTTCTCTGGAATAACAATGACATTTAAAAAAGTAATCCAAATGACATAAGACAGAACCTCAAATAAACTTACATACTCCTGGTGACAATAAAAGAGAAAAACTTACATACTTTGACTCCCAACTCTTGAGATAAAAAAGGGAAGGCAATTAAAAATTATGCCTATAAAACTGAAAAATGTAACCATCAGTGATAAAAGAAGGATTTCATTCTCTGTTCTTTAAGGTTCTTTTTAAAAAGGAACTTTGAAGAGTGTTTTTTTCATTTTAAATTGAATTTTGAAGAGTGGTTCCAGTTTAAAAAGACAGTGTTTGCACAGATGATGCAGTTGTCTCTGATTTGAAAAACATTACAAAATAAACACCACACCTCCTGTGTCTCACAGTCACTTTGTCCCCTCTCCTTTAAAAGGCAACAGGTGATTTGACACATCACCCTAAATTTTTTGAGACAAAAATCAGTAACTGGTAAGTAGAATAAATTATTAGAACTGGAAGAAATAAAAGGCTTTTTAAAGAAAGGTTTCGCTCAGATTTCCCTCAAAAAAATCACATAATAATAATACAGCAGGGGCTGAACTCTTCCCTGTTGGGAGCTGCTCCTAGATAGAACTGATGTTCACTTTTCCTAGGAAAGCACAGATACTAAAATATTCCATAAACCTTACGAGATGCACCCTTTTTCCTTTCCTTTTTCCTTTGCCATTCCATTTTCCATTACCAGTGAGGCACCCAGCAGCAGGGACATCCCCATAGGACATGTTGAGCCCTGCCAGAGGGGACAGCTCCAGGAAAGACTCATCATCCAGCAGCAGCTTCAGGCGCTCCCTAACAAACAGCTTCTTGTTGCGCTGAGTGTGGCGCAGGATGGCGTTTTCTCCCCCTCCTTTCCTCACCCTCTCCAACAATTCCGAGTATCTGATGGAAAAAAAGTTTCAGTTAATGGAAACAAAGCTGTGTGGTGTGGTCACACGCTGGAGGGGAGGGATGGCCTCCAGAGGGACCTCGAGAGGCTGCAGATGTGGGGCTGGGGGAACTTCAACAAGGCCGAGTGCAGGTGCTGCCTTGGGTCTGGGCAATCCTGAGCACAAATCCAGGCTTGGCGGGGAATGGATTGGGAGCAGCCCTGGGGAGAAGGACTTGGGGTATTGGTGGATGAGAAGCTCAACATGTCCCATCTAGAGAAGGCCATGGAGATGCTCCAAGGGCTGGAGCCCCTCTGCTCTGGAGACAGGCTGGGAGAGCTGGGGGTGTTCACCTGGAGAAGAGAAGGCTCCAGGGACAACTTAGAGCCCCTTCCAGTGCCTAAAGGGGCTCCAAGAGAGCTGGAGAGAGTCTTGGAACAAGCGCTTAGAGGGGCAGCTCAAGGGCAAATGGCTTCCCACTGCCAGAGGGCAGGGTTAGATGGGATATCAGATAGGTTAGATAGGAAGGAATTTTTCTCTGTGAGGGTTTGAGGCCCTGGCACACGTTGCCCAGAGAAGCTGTGGCTGCCTCATCCCCAGGTTGGATGGGGCTTGGAGCAACCTGGGATAATGGAAGATGTCCCTGCCCATGGCAGGTGATGGAACAAGATGGGATTTAAGATCCCTCCCAACCGAAAACATTTGATGACTCTGTGATTCATTATAAGTTACCTTTTAGTAGACTGAACATAGTAAAATATATTGTACAGTTTTCACATAAATGGTAGGAGAAAGAAGATGAACTCACATTTTTGGATTATTTCTTCTTACAAAGTGTAATAAAAAGCAAAGATCTGTTATGTAAAGCATTTTACTTTCCTTATTCAAAAACTGTCTAATAAAGGCAATAATAAATAAAAATAAGTCCAATAATGTGTTCATCCTATCTCAGCATGAACCTCCATTTCCAACTACTCTAGGGAAGAACCCAAACAAAGGTTTCCTCTCTCAGCTCCCTTTAACAAGTTTATCTGACAAAAATCAGTAACTGGTAAGTAGAACAAATTCCGAAATCTAGAAGAAATGTACACTCTGCTACATGGAAGATGCACTAAGAGTGGTGAACATTGCAGAGTCACTGGGAGGAAGTGATTACCAAATGTTATTGTCAGGGAAGCCTCAAGTTTAGATACAAAAGTGAATAAACTGTAAACAAATGTGGTATCTCAAATAATTTTGGTCTTAAATAAACCAGGTTCTTCCTCTATTTCAAACATAACGTTTTTCCCCCAAGATGCATCATCTTTAACTATAAATGCTGTTTGACACAACTACTCACACAGCACTCCGTCTGTGACTCCACTATCTTAGTGTGGCTCCCTGCAGACCGTGGAGGTTGGAAAAGCTCAGGAGGAAAAAATTAAGGATTTTTTCAAAGTCCTAAATGCCACCACAGGAGGGCACAATGTGTTTTCTGTAGCTTTGCTTCCAGCTCATGGATCACTCCCCTGAACAAAGGCCTTTGCGTTTTTGCCATCTGATCTTTCTGACAAATACATAAAATACATTTTCCTGCTTTTATCACTGGATCACGATTGAGTGCAGTAAATGTCTCCTACTCTGTCAGGAGTGTGTGAGTCACCATTTATGTCTTTGCATTCAAAATCCAACACGAAACAAATGTTATGAAGGTCTAAAAAAAAATACTTCTTAGCAATATATGCAAAACAACACATGGCACTATGTTGAATACAGTTTGCACTTCGATCTGGGTATTACAGTCAACATTTCACAGAAGGGTCTCAGTTAGGAGAGACCTTAAAGATCATCCCATTCCACCCCTGCCATGGGCAGGGACACCTTCCACTATCCCAGGTTGCTCTAAGCCCTGTCCAACCTGGCCTTGAACACTTCTAGGGATGGGGCAGCTGCATTTTTCCATGGGGCAAACATTGTCTGTATGTTAAAGTGCCTGTAAGTAACTCTCACACCATGCTACAAGCAGCAACACTTTTAACCCCCCACAAAACCGGTTCATTACCTTTTAACCACAGCCTCGCTGTTCCTTAAATTCTGTTCGAACACATGTCGGTGTACAGCGAGGACACGTCCGTCCAGAACCGGGTACGTTCTGGGGTGCCGCCTGTATTTCGACTTATTACTCACAAATCGGCGGGGCGGCAGATGGTGCGTCCTTCCCCAGCCCTGGCCGTGCAACAGGAGCTCCCGATATTCCTTCTGGAACAGGCGGATCAGGGAGGGCCCGGGGCGGCCCCTGCCCAGGGCGCACAGAGGGGCCGTGTTCCACATGGCCCCAAGAGCTGGGGGACAACAAGCAGCGCTTAGTGACGGGAATTACAGCGTGGATTCTCTCGGCTGAGGGGGAACGCGGTCCCCTCGCCACGGGCGGCGGCCGCGAGGGGACAGCCCCGGTGCCTGCCCTGCCATGTGGGCCCTGAGGGGACACTCCCGTCAGACGGGGATCGTGAGGGGACAGACACTGTTCCCGCCCTTCTCCGAGGGTCGTGAGGGGACACCCGTTCACGCCCTTCCATGGGCGTCGTGAGGAGACACCGTAAGTTCCTGCCACGCCAGGGGGGTCGTAAGGGGACACCTCCTGTTCCCACGGAGATCGTGCGGGGACGCCCCGGCTCCCCCTGCGCCCCCGGGCCGGGTGGGCCCAACCGGGCCTGCGGATCGCGGCGGGGCCGGCCCGTGCCGTGCCGGGTAAGGAGCACGGGGCCGTGCCGGGTAAGGAGCACGGGGCCGCGGCCCCTCCGGCGAGGCCCTCTGGCCCGGCCCGGCCCCTTGCCCGCCGCGGGCTCCGCTCCGCGCCCGCCGCGGCCCGGCCGGCCCCGTCCCACCGCCCCTGACTTACCCCGTCCTGTCCGGGCCCGCCTCACGGGGCGGCTCCGCCGAGCGGCCCGCCCCGGTGTCCCGTGCCCCGGGCGTCCTGGGCGGTGTGTGCCTTGTGCCCTTGGTGTCTTCAGCCCCGAGCGTCCCGTGCCCCGAGTGTCCTGTGCCAGGTGTGTCCTTTGCCCGGGTGTCCTGTGCCCCCAGTGTCCTGTTCCCTGGGTGTCCTCTCTCCAATTAAGTTTATCATTAAAATACTGAAACTAGTTTGTTTTATTTTTCCCCTTCCATAGCTCGTCCCATCCCTGGGCTGCTTCAGTTTGATACTGTCAGTCATGGCATAACCTTCTAGAAATTACTGTGTGTTGCCTTTCAGCACCTTCATTAAAATGCATCCCTGCCAGAGAGCTCTTTATCCATATTATACATATTAATAAGGCTGGGTTGTGATAATTAAGTGATGAGTAATATGTTCGTGAGTGAAAGTATCCAGCATAGACTGGAATTTTTAGGTAAATAAGTTCTATATGTTATTAAAAAATCTTGAGAATAATGATTTGCTGCACTATTCTAAGTAAAAATATATTTTTTGTCCTTCTACAGTTAGAGCAGACAGGGCAGTCTGGTGCTGTGCTCCCTTGAATCAGAAACTTGATGGAGGTGGAGCTGTGGGAAGTGACATAACTGCCTTGGGTGGTTTTCTGTTGTCCTGTGGGAAGTGCCAGAGTCCCTCCTTCAGTCCCAAACCCTGTGACAGGGAGATGAAGGTCTGTGCTGGACCCAGGGAGAGCCCAGGGAGCAAGGGGCAGAGATGCTCTGACAGAAAATGTAGCACTCAAGGGTAACACAGATACTGCAGAGGGTCAGGCTGAGTCTGGGCTGGGGTGTCTGCATGTGTAAATAATCCCTTTTAAAAAATAGGGTCCCAGATCTGATTTGCATTTTCCTGAAATGCTCATTAATTCTGGACCAGTCAAAACAGGGCAAGTGGTGGGCATTTGATTACTGGTAATCACAGAATCCCAGACTGGTTTGGGTTGGAAGGGACCAGCGCACCTCATTCCACCCCCTGCCATGGGCAGGGACACCTTCCACTATCCCAGATTGCTCCAAGCCCCATCCAACCTGGCCTTGGATACTTGCAGGGATGGGACAGCCACAGCTTCTCTGGGCAACCTGTGCCAGGGCCTCACCACCCATACAAGAAAGAATTTCTTCCCAATATCCCATCTAACCCTGCCCTCTGGCAGTGGGAAGCCATTTCCCCTTGTCCTATCCCTCCAAGCCCTTGTCCCAAGACTCTCTCCAGCTCTTTTGGAGCCTCTTTAGGCACTGGAAGGGGCTCTAAGGTTCCCCTGGAGCCTTCTCTTCTCCACATGAACACCCCGAGCTCTCCCAGCCTGTCTCCAGAGCAGAGGGGCTCCAGCCCTCGGAGCATCTTCATGGCCTCCTCTCAACTGAATAATGAAACTGTTAACAAACACACCAATCTGGACACGCGTTGTGGGCACTGATGCAGCCATGGGGAGTTCCTGATGGGACCCATAGATGAAGTTGGCAGCTGCTGCATCATTTGTGCTGGTTTGGGGCATTTGTGTTTTGGGTTGTTGCTCATTTCAGTTCACATCTTCCCTCTTTCCCTGGTGTAGCCAGAACTCTTTTTTCCCAACAGTTTGAGAAACTTGTGAACAGCTGAAGAGGAGAGACAGAAGTAATTATGCAGCTTTGCATAGATCTTGCATTTCCCATGGGTTTTAATTTGAATTTTTGTGCTCTATGCGGTGCAGGTGATAATGGGAAAGGAAAGAGTGGTGACAGAAATCCATGTAAAGCAGGAGAATACGTTTGAGGAGGTGTGAATTTCAAAGAGGTGTTGGTGGCAGTGAAAACGCTGCAAGCTTGTGCTTGGCTTGCTGGAGAAGGAATTGCAGATGCAAATGCTTGGATATGTATTTCAAGTGAGATTTGGGCTTCCTGTTATTTCTGGGCTTTTTTTTTTAAAGCTGACCCATATATCATTTCATGGATTAGTAAGATTTTTTCCTACTCAGTTCTGTGAATATATCAATGACTCCTGTTCCATTATAATTTTCACGGTTCTTATTTTCCATAATTAAGTGTGTGGCTTCCATAAGAGACACTATCTCTAAACCACTGGTGTTGTGTGGCAATTCCATCTTATGTGATTTTAATTTGCAGACTTTTTCTTTACGTACCTCTTGCAGTTAATTTTTTATTGCTTATATTGTGGTGGCCTTGTCAGTCCTGGGTTAACAGTTGGACTTGATGATCTCAAAGCTCTTTTCCAGCCTAAATTATTCTGTGATTCTTTATTATCGAACAGGTTTTCTAGTAGTTAGAATCAGTGTTCACAGGCAGGATTTGCTGTATGTAACACAGGTGCCTTTTACTCAGGCTTAAATGAGTAATTTAATTTCATTCTCATGAAAGCTGAATGCTGTTTGCACAGATTAAAGGATAAAGAAACACTTTTCCCTGCATTTCGGCCCCCACATCTATCTCAGGGGATGCTTATCACAGGCAGAAGGTCTCAGCCACCAGTTTGTACTGGGAGACAGATTGGTATAAATAACAAATCCTTTAATTAAGAGCCAACAGATCCTAATTGACTTATTTTAGTCCTCAAGCTGGGATCAGCCTTTCTCTCTTGCCATGGCATGGAGCATCCTTTGTTTAACAAACACCAAGGGGGGAATTGAGTGAGGGAGGAAAAAACAGCCCTTCTGAGAGGCTGCAGCCATGTGCAAGTGTTTGAAGTTGTTATTTTAGGAGCTTATTTTAGCGACTTTTGAGCTGAGCATTGAGACTATATAGAGCAGCATTTAGGGAAAATGCTAATGTGGTGGTGGCTTCCTTTACCATGAGCTGCAGCTCTGCCAGCAAAGCTGAAATGTGCCATTTAAGGAACACCGAAGCTTTGAGGGAAGTTTGAACTCAGCTGGATTTAGAAACTTGCTGGAGTGCACCGGATGCTGGGGGAAACCAGAACACACTTTCTGGATTGTCAGACCAAAGGCAGGAAGGTTCCCACAAAGCCCTCCTCCTTGTGGAGCTTCTGTTTCTTATTTAGATTTTGTTTTTTAATACCCAAAAAGCTTTTAGTGGTGTTCTGACAATGGGGGCCTGGAAATTGGGCTAAATTAAAACAGGTTCTGTTTGTTTACTTAGAAGTGCTAACAGACTTGGACGGTCCCACTGCATTTTCAGGGCTTACATCATTCTAAAATAGATTTAATAGATTCAAAACAAATTTGATAATGAAGTAACTTCCACTTGGTGTGTTTGCATCTATTCCAAAGGAATAGCTCAGCCTTGTGAGGTGTGCTGAACTGGATTTTATATGAAACAGTAAGAAGCTTATTTTAGTTGCAGGAAGATATAAGAGAACACAAGGAATTAGATGAACCAGTTAGAAGATGGGAGACTAAATGGAAGAGAAGCTGAGAGCCTGATCCTCAGTAAGTAAATTTAATTTCCACTGAGGATGTATCAGATGCTTCCATAGTATTTAGCTTCTTATTTTGGATGGCTTGAAGTTTTATGAATCCCCACAAAGAGAGATGTGCAGAGCCAGGTAGGCCTTCACAAATTGTGCCAAAAGATGAGGGTGAGCAGCTGAGTCATGGAAGTTTTCTGCACATTTCTTCAAGTACAGATGTATGAGACAGCAGATGTATTACAACACCTATAAAAATACCTGTTACCATCAAACCCTTATCCACATTTATTTTTCACATTATTTAACACAGTATCACAGTATTTTTTAACTCTAGTTTAGCCTTCCCAGTTTCCCAGTCTGTTGCCACAAAGAGCTGACAAACCCATGAATAATTGCATAATAATTCCAAATGTGGAAACACAGCTGATTTGGAGAAGACAAAGAGCATGTACACTTGCTTACATTACTGAAAAATGGGAGTTTCTGTTTCATCTTACTCCTGCAAAAAATGCACAGAACAAAAAGAGCAGAACTATCTTCTGGTTAAGAGATAATTGATAGTGTGTACATAATTAATAGTGTGTACAATTCCCTCTTGCACTGCCAGAGTCTGTCCTGAATTGCACTGCTACAAGCTGAAGACAACAGAATTCCACTCTGAAAATGCAGATAACTGGTGATATCCCAATGAGAAAAAAAAACAACTTTGGCTTTCCTGGGTTGAAGTGGCAGAGCTGACAGAGCACCTGTTGGTTTTACCTGTACAGGTCAGTGCAGTCACTGAGTGGCTGCTGAAAAACTTGTACAGCTGCAATATGCAACAACTGTGTGAAGATCTGTTGCTTCCTCAGTTTTAAAGGCCTAACCAAAAATCTTCTGAAGTCATCAGAAAGCTTTTTGTGGGTTAGAGGAGCTGCAGATTCAGTTGCAAACCCTGGTGAATGATTCTAGGAAAGTGCTGATGGATTTATTCCCCTGTGCGAGCGCTTGGCGCTGAGTGGTGACACCAAAGCCTCAGCCTGTGTCCGACTGTTTGGAGTGCCTTGAACATGGTTTTGTAAGGCCATTGCTAGCTAGTAATTGGGGAGTGGATGTGGTCAGGGCAGTCAGATAAACACATGGAGGGAGGGGATGAATCACTGAATAAATACACTATCGATGCTGTAGGAGCTGCTGTTACGCACGGCACGCTGGGGGGGATGTGACGTGTTTGTTTCCTGCTCTCAGGAAAATGTTACTTGAAAGAGGAATTGAGGCTAAATGTGTAGTTCCAAATTTGCAGGTCCACACCTTCCTCATGCCTATCTTGTCTCCTTTAG